CACTATACCTACTGTGATTTTATACAGCAATTGACATTGTGCATTTGTTATTCATTTTTGATCGGAATGATTGTTTAATTGATTATCATAACAAAATCAAAAAAAATTGTGCGAGTTTCGCTATAAAAAACATTTTGCGCCAGGCGATGGCAGGCGACACACATCTTCCTTAGAAGACTCACACGTTTTGTCCAGAAACATTAAAACAATCATCTCTTATTTGATTAATTATACGATTGCTAATGTATTCTTCAAACCAAATGCTGGTAGTCATTAGTAAACATTTACACTTCCGAACCTTGGGGAGCTGATATCAATATAAAATGTCATTGCCTCAATGCTATATCTATCAGTCTCTGAGAATTGTATCACGCACATGTAACTCTGGCCCAAAGTTATGTTCATGATCAAGCTGTGACTGGTTAAACGAAATATGGTCACTTTGGTCTTTTTTCTACCGGCAGTAAAACCCTTGCAAGAGTGGGCCGTCCGTTTGGTCGTGTGGGATGTAAAAGTATGCAGACCCGTCTGGTTAGAATGGGGAAGTTAAATTCAACACCTCGCTCTCTGCACGTGAAGAACCCTTGCAAAAATTCTTTGAGGTGTGTGTAGATGGTTTGTTGCAAGGCAAAATTTCTGTTCTTATCCAATAATATCATTAATTTCCAGTGGCAGGCCATTTTCATCGACTTTCATCCCGGACAGCCTCTATTACAGGACCTACCTATTGTAGTTTTTGATAATTAGTTCTCGTCCTGAACATGAATGAAATATTTGCCATTTCCAACGCAACAAATAACAATTAATCAATCACATTCATGAATCAACCGTGTCGAGAAATCTCATTCGTGCAATCAAAGATGACTTAAAAATTCTAATTCATGGATTACACTGAAATTTTTAAGGAAAATGTGCATTTTTGTTGTTTCAATGCTAAACATATGGAAAGTATATAAAAAATATGCAGCCTTTCCCATTGTATTCCTTTATTCGACAATTCGGTGCTAAATGGATAGAGGATTATGGCATGAAGTGCTAGCAATGATTTCCATCAAAAATAAATAAAGATATTGGTTAAAACAAGTACTTAGTTACTCAGCACAAGGTTTTTTGGATCGTTTAGGTTTTTTATTACTTTTCGTAGACAATTTACGCTAGCACATCATGGACAAACATGTGAGTAATCTATGTTTACAATTTTATAGCGAAAACAATCTCTGTACTAAAGTCTATGGGTTTGGTTTTTTTTCAAAAATCTTGGCTTTATTTGCCACCAAGTCCCAATTTTCTATGAAATATTTTAAAACAGTATTGCTTTGAACAACGTTTCCCTTTGGTATATGTACAAAATGGCAGTTCACTTTTATTCTGTATCATTATTGTTTTGATATTGTAGCACTTTGAATATTTAGTAATACATATGCCTACAGAATGGGTCATTAACCTTAAACGATGCGTCGGAATCAGTATGTTTTATAACATTATTTCCTTGTAAGATAGAAAAAAACTGCGTACAATAGACTAGTCCGAGGAATAAAAAACAGTAACAATGCGAGATGTAGGAAATCTCCAGGAAACAATAAGGCTGGCTGACCAAGATTTATACCATTAAGGATGTTCGCTCCTCATGTTTTTTATTGTTTGCCAGATAGTCGGAATCCTCTGGTTTTATCCATGTAGTGCTATTAAAAATTTTGCCCGCTAACCCCTACTTTTCTTTTCATTATTTTATTACATATTATTTAAAAAGCCATATTTGAAAATCTTATAAAGTCCTCTTTAATTTTTGATAGTTTTTGAAAGAAAAAAAAGGTGACAATGTTAAATGTAAGAAAAAACTATAGAGAATCATTTCCCGCCAAACTTTCACTGGCTATATCTCGAAAACAAGTACACGGACCCATTATTTTTTTCTGCTTTTTCAGTTCCTTTATTTATATACTATCAATTTATAGCAGTCTTTTAAAAAGTTTATTTTTCTAAAACAGAGTAGCGAACATCCTTAAGTTTTTATTATAATAAAACTGTTTATATCTCTGGCGATGCCCAATGATCATTGACCTTATTACAGTAAAGTCGTCTGAAAGCCTTAGAACGATCTGCAATGGCTGGTGATATACCTTGTGGGCTTGATATGTGTCTGTACCATAAAGTAATCTGAATTTTTATTTCCCTGGATTGGGCTCTTGGCATTTTTTGAGAAATCGCAAAGGCCAAAATATTGGCCCTACGGCACAGAACTTGTTAAATTTGCATTCATTATTGTCCATTAAACATTTATAGTATTTCGGTAAAAGAATTACCATCCTGCAATGAGCCAGTTTACCATACAAATTGTGATTGAATATATTAAAATTGCGATAATCGTATACTGTTTGAATATCATTTGTAACATTTGAAATACAAGAATATATCACGGAATTATGTATGTCCTTAGTTACAGTTTCATACCAAATGAGAGATCGCCGTATTTAATTTTACTACTTACTCTCCATTATTTACATGAAAATCTGAAAAGCTGATTCTAACAAACAAATTGGGGTCTACATCGGCATGTCAACAAGTTAAACTTTGAAAGTAAAGGTCATGTAATCCATCGCACTTCAGAAAAAAGTAAAATAACAAAACAACCGAACTCCAAGGGAAATTCAAAACGGAATGTCCTTTATAAAATGGCAAAATCAAAAGCTCAAACACATCTAACGAATGGAAAACAACTGTCATATTCCTGACTTGGTACAGGTATTTCCTTATGTAGAAAATGGTGGATTAAATCTGGTTTTATAGCTAGCTGAACCTCTTACTTGTATGACAGTCGCATTTCGGCGTTATCCTTTACTTGGAAATAAAGGAAAAATGCCCATATGACTTAGACAATTCGAATATTAAAAACTAGAAGTTTTAAAATCGGAGTCGGTCAAACATTTGGTTTGCTTACATAAAATGTAACTTAATGTGGGACATTTTAGTTTTTGTCAACGACGGTTTTTTGCTCTTAGCCGTAGTACATGTGTTGTACTTTTTGTATAACATTAAAATTTTAATGACAATCCAGGCACCATTGCTTATTGGAATGAACACCCAGAATTCAGATGTGATTCAGATGTTTTATTTCATACATTCAACTGCCAACTTGCAATTTCTTTCTCATGATTGTTGTCTGTTGATTTCTAAGAACCCTCGAAAGGGTCATGACCAACATTTGATATATCATTTTTTTTTATATTGATAGGATCAATTTATCATTTTTTTTGTTTTAATCAAAAGTGAAATTTTGACCATTTACTAAGATATTCATCCACCATTTCTGGATTACGTATTTTTAAAGAAGTTCAAAGTAAAATAAATACCTGTGTGAAAACTACAAATTCAATCACCTTTTCATAATTTTAATCTCGGTACAAAAACCCTTAAAAAGATTTATTGCAGAACTTCAATCAAGGTTACTGGACTGGTTACCTGTCAACTGGGTTCCTATTCCTATCAGATCGGCAATATAATTAGTAAAGATTATATCTTTGTCTTTGCCTTTGCTTTCAAAGCCAGAAACAAGAGGTCTCTCCTTCTAACCAAGAACATAATATTTTCCGTGAAGGTTTGTTTTGGCAAAAGAAGTCTTCAAATTGATTGTCCTTCACTCTACTTTTACCTTTAACATTACAAGAACTTGTTGATGACGAAAATGTTATATAAAAACAATATCTTTGAACTAAAAAAAACGCACCAAATTTAATTTTAGTTCCAGAGATATGCAAGTATATTTCAAATGAGAAATCGTTGATGTACGTTTACAGTAGCTGAAAAGAGAGGCGAAAGATACCGATACTCATTAGTCCTAAATAAACTGACAACGCCATTGCAAAAAAAAAAAAACCTAAAAAGACTAAAAGACAAACAACAGTATACGAAACATTTCACAGAAAACTAAAGGCTGAGCAACACGATTTCTCTTCAATTTCAACCGCACGAAACTGAAAATCAGTCATGAAGAATACAAATAAAATGCAAATCTATGTTGTTGAAAAATTCCATACTTTCAATAAACGTCATGAAAGAGTGCACGGACTATGTTACGATCAGATAAGAGTATGTTTAGTTGCTGTACTGCATTAAACAGTTGATTTTCATATCAAAACACGAACATTCTACGTAAATATAGGCATTTTTTTTTATCAAAACTGTCAAAATATCGCTCATTTTTCATTGACCTTCACTTAAAAAACTGCACATTTCAGACAAAGTTTAACTTTTAAAAGTACAAAACTGAGAATGTTTGACCCTAATCATATCAAGCTTATTACAGAATTGATCAGTTTTATTGATGGCTATATAAAAGTCTTTTTGCTTGAATGGTATAATATTACGCATATTTTATACAGTCAACATATCAATAAATGAAGAGTATATGGTACTGTTGATAAAAGAAAATGGAATAAAACTCCCCAACCTTACACTGTCTCTCATGGACAACAGCTTTGTGGCCAATACAATGAAATTTGAAACTGAAATCGGCTCAAACTAAGGCAGATCATGTACTTTTGTAATATAATTCTATATTCTAATATGACGTCCCTATTACGCTTTGTAAACAAAGCTGTGTTCTAATTAGCACAAAAAATATGTTTGACACATGCGCATAAACTTACTATTTGCATTCTCGTTGTTTTCATTTTTATCTTCATAAAATTCATATATTTTAACTGCTTACATAAAATTTATCAGTTATTGATGTACAACATCATATAATTTCCCTCTATTAGTGTTTAAAAGCTTATTTAATATGAAAATGGCTGAAAATGGCTGCAACCGGCAGCGTTTGTTTCGGCTGTTCCGTCCATTTAGCAAACCTCCCATGTAAATGCACATGTCCGCGCGCCGATGACTCATCGTCTGCTGTCAAAATGTATAGATACACAGTATCGCCGTTGAAAATTGGACTTAAAGTAGATTATAAAGGGACATCTTATAAGATAACAGACCACTTTATGGAACACAATGCTGTCAGGCAGTACATAATACAATCTATGGCTGATGGAGGAACAAAAAGGGTTTTCAGACACGAGATATGTGATGCCAGAGTTAGTTCCTCATTCTCAAAATTGACAGAGGACACCATATTCAGTTTTGAAAATAATGAACAGTCACAGTCAGATGAGGAACTATCTCAGATTGATGAAGACTTAACTGCTAAATGTATAAACCAAGAACCACCTGCCAAAAAGTCAAGATTTAAGGAGCTGCCTAGCAAAGAAGAAATTGAAAAGTTAGCGCTGGCAAGAACTGAGCCAAGAACCAACCAGCAGACAGTATGGGGTGTCAAACTTCTAAGAGGTAAAAACCATAAAATGCAAAAATATTACATTGGAAAGAAAATATAATCATAAATTGATGGTAAATTGGTTTCAATAAAACATTTTAATGATAAATATAGAAAATCGTGAGGTAATGCCGTACTTATGGTATTCGGCAATGAGTCAGCAACCTAGCAATATTTTTTTTTACCGTTTTCAAACATAAAATTTACTCTTCAGTGTTATGGAATATAACTTAAATAACAAGAAATTAAAAAAATCAAATGATGCAAATTACAAATGTTGTATTCTTAAATGAGATGTACTTTCGATTGTCAAGATGTAGAATTAAAATAAAAATATTCCTTGATATTTGATTTTTTTTTATTGTACTTGACGTAGTGTTATTTATCATATATGCAAGCATACTTGAAAAAATATATTAAATAAATTATTATAACAGTTATGAGCATGCTGAAGTAGTAAACAAAACACCCCAGTGGGGATCGAACCCCATCCTCCTATAGATCGGTGTACTTCCAAAATACTACCAGGGTTTACTGTTTCGTTAAGTATTACAGCAGCAAAAGCATAACTTATTTTCACTACAAAATTTTGAATGACATGAACATGTTGGTACATGAAAAGAAGACAAGCTGAATATCATGTTTTTAGTCTAAATAAAAAGATTGATAGAATACTGTATACGTAGGTCGCTCTAGTCTACATGTACAAAATATGCACGAACACCAACATGCTTTTGGCATAAAACGCTAAATTAAAACATGCATAAAGCAATATACAGTCCTCTATTATTTATTTATATGAATCAAGTCTTTGAAATAAATTATATGCATATAAAATTCATCACAATTAAATAAAATATTTATAAGAATTACTTGAATACGTAAAAAAATGGTACAAATAATTTCAGGTTGGCTAACTGAAAATAAGTACAGCAGCAGTTTTGAGGAACTGGATGAAACTATCCTAAATGACAGATTGTGCTACTTTTATGCAAGTTTGCAGACCAAACAAGGCACTGATTATTCAAAGTCAGCACTCGTCGGAATTCGATCTGCTATTTCTAGGCATATAACTGGTCCTCCTTATAATCGGGAAATTAACATAATTACTGACAAATCATTTATGCCATCAAATCATGTAATCACGGGTATGATGAAAAAATTGAAAAGGGAAGGGAAAGATATAACTGTACATAAAAAGGCTGTAGCTGAAGGTGATATCCAAAAGCTGTATTCCAGTGGAATCTTCAGTACTGATCACCCAGTAACTCTCCAAAATAAAGTTTTCTGGGACATTATGCTGAATTTTGGAAGGAGGGGACAGGAGGGGCTTACTGATTTGAAGAAAACAACTTATGCAAAATGTAAAGATGACAAAGGACAAGAGTACTACAAAATGACTTACAATGAGTGTGACAAAACACATCATGGTGTAGACTCAAAAGAAAATTCAAGGGACGTAAGAATGTACGCTAAACCTGGGGACATTCACTGTCCAGTGTTTAGCTTGGACTTTTATCTAGGAAAGCTTAGTCCAAGGTGTACAGCATTTTTTTAGCAAGCACTCCAGTATCCTAAACCAACTATATGGTATGCTGCACAACCAATTGGCAAAAACAAACTGGCAAGTATGATGTCAAGAATATCTGAAGAAGCTGGTCTATCTATCAGATACACAAACCACTGCATGAGAGCCACCGTGGCAACATGATTGAAAAGAGCGGGAGTCGATGACCGGGCTATTATGTCTGTAACGGGACACCGGAATGTTAAATCTTTGGACAGCTACATTGAAGGTCCAACTGACAAGCAACTTTCCAATACACTTCAGCGAGTTGCAACCGCCAATTCAGATTCTGCTTTGAATGAAAACAAAACAGAGTCAAATGCTAGTGCCACATCTGCACAGAATAATTCATGCCAGATCGCTGTTTCATCCTCTTTAGCGAGAAATCCACTGTCCGATTTAAACATTTTCACCAACGCTACAATCACTGGGGGAACAATCACTATTAACATGGTAAATAAGGAATAAATGTGTCTTACCTTCATGTGCAACTGTCACCCGCCATTTCCACCATCGTTATGAGCTGTGACGTAAAGAAATCTCTGAACAGAAACAAAAACTTGTTTGATATTTATTGTTCTATTTTAGAATAATAAATGTTAGAATTATTTATCAAAAGTTTTTTAAATCTGTTTATTTCATAATTCCATTGCAGAACCTTTTTTTCGGTATATTTTGTACAAGTTTATTTGGGAGGAAATAGGAACAGCCAAACATTCCTAAGGTATACTTGTACGCTTCGACCTATAAAAATACCGTATTTGTCCTATTAGAATCGAAATAATTCCTTCATGTCATGCTCTATGCTCATTTTAACATGGGTAGGCATTATATTTGTCGATATTTTACACCTCGCTAACGCTCAGTGTAAAATATCGACAAATAACGCTCAGTGTAAAATATCGACAAATATAATGCCTACCCATGTTAAAATGAGCATAGAGCATGACATGAAGGAATTATTTCTTAAATAAACTGTTCATTACACCAATATGATAAATACCGAAATCCTTCATAATTTCTCCAATATATTTTTTTATAATTTGATTGACAAAACAAAACGCATTTTGAAGATTTTCTTTTACCTAATAGCTTCAAGTACGTCTACTCTTGACAGGAACAAGGACGGACCCTATTATTTCATGATAGAAATGCAGATTTCTCCTGTTTATTTGGCTGTCAAATTTCAACTTTCTAACAGCTAAAATTAGTCCCTTTCGTGATTTATGGTTAGAATCGTGATACGAAATTTGGACAATTCACTCAGATAATTATCCACAATATAAATTTCAGAATCACAAAAAAATTGCAACAAAGAGGAAAGTTTGATGAATATCCGTTTAATATAATACAAATTTAACCATTTTTATATTATTTTCATCTCGGTCCAATATTACTTTAAAAAGATGGTAGATTTATTAAGGACTTCATTCCTTGTTACTTGACTGCTATCCTAGACTTCAACTGGGTTCCAATTAGCTACAGTATAGAATTGTTAACTGCAACATTTTCTTTAGATGCAGCTTATTGATCTTGAAGATTGGCTTATTTCCATGCTTCATAACGGTCCATGAAGGTTTACAAATTTATCATGTCAAAAACAAATTAATCCTAGACCGTCTGTAAATGTTAACTTTAAAAAAAACTAAGTACATCTATCAGTAAAATACTTTTAAACAAGAATGTGTCCAAATTACACGGATGCCCCTATCGCACTTTCATTTTCTATGTTCAGTTGACCGTGAAATTGGGGTCAAAACTCTAATTTGGCATTAAAATTAGAAAGATCATATCACAGGGAACATGTGTACTAAGTTTAAAGTTGATTGGACTTCAACTTCATCAAAAACTACCTTGACCAAAAACTTTAACCAAAAACTTTAACCTGAAGCGGGACAGACGAACGGACGAACGAACGGACGCACAGACCGAAAAACATAATGCCCCTAGGTGGGGCATAAAAAATGAAAGAAATATAAATTTTGCTTCAGAAAGTTTAGACAATCGCTTAATCATAACAAAAGCTTCTGTCAAAGTTTCATTATATTCTCTGAAAGTTTGACAAATGAATTAATGCGTAACAAACTTCAAACCAGACTGTATCTACTTGAAAACTGCAAAAAAAAAACAAGTCCTTTAAGTCCTTTTATAAGTTAAATAAGTAAAAAAAAATGTGTGTTTATCATTTTGATCTGGATACTATCTTTTGATCATAAAAAGCTTCTGTTCAACTTCCATGATGGTTTGACAAAGCTATTGATGACTTAAAAACTAACATAAAATTGTATCTTAAAGTTAATTGTGAAAACAAAATTAAGTCCATTTATCAGTAAAATACAAAAAAAAATACAAAAAAATACATATTTTCAAAATTTTAATCTTCATATGGTCTTTCTTTTTGTCATAAAAATGCTTCTGTCCAAATTTCATGAAGATTTGACAAAGTCATTAATTGAAATATAACTGGAAAAAAATAACCTTAGACTGTATTCAAATGTTAACTAAAAAAACTAAGTCCATATAATAGTAAATTACTTAAAAATGAAAAATAAATATTTCAAAATTGTGCTCTATATACTGTCTTTTGGTCATAAAAAAATCTTCTGTCTGAATTTAATAACAGTCCATAAAAAGTTTGACAAAGTAATTGATTTCTAAAAACAATTTATCCACAGACTGAAACTAAAAGTTGACCCCGTCCTTGGTGGAATCTATGACCATTTCGTCTCGCTTTCGCGCATGAATGCCGCAGGCTCGACAAAAAGAGGAGGAAGATACCAAGGAGAAATTCAAAACTCTTAAGTCGAGATGAACTGTCAACGTTTTAAGGCTATAGGAAAAGGAGTAAGTTAGACAAGGCCGAAACATTACTAGTATATCGAGCTTAAAATTCAATTTTGTATTGATGGCTGTTATAACAAGGAATCATTTTAAAAACAATAACTAGATTAGATATAATTCTTTGACGACACAGTTAGCATCAATTTCAATTTCCCAACAAACACAAAGAAAGCAGGCTGCAAATTTCCATTCGTTTTCAGACCTGGAAACAGCGCTAGCGCACACGCCGACAAAAAGATCTTGCAAAATTATGCTTATAATACATGTTATAATAAACAAAATATCGTACTAAAATAGTTAGTTTGTCGAATACAGCGCTTTATAACATCCAAGCCTAAATTTCGTTGAATTCCATAAGATTTGGAAAATTTCATCAAAGTCCGTTTTTGATGCCTTTTTCTGGTATACATTCCAACGTACCATTCGAAGCGTTCGACAAAATTCGTTATATTTAACTTTGTCGCATTATGGACTTGATATTGAGAGAAAAACAAAGCCTTTATTGTACTTACCCTTCGAAGCTAAACATATTCTTTTGTGGGAGAGCGTTTATATGTTGACATGTAGATGTCTTTCTGTTTTATTATCATAGTGTTTGTATGTGTATACATAATTTTAAATTCCTCTAGAAAACATCCATTTTCAAATAATCCAATAGCAACAATATTTTTGTCTTTTAGATGTATAGCATGTTTAGTATAAATCTCAAAAACAAGTATAAGACGTTTGTTTCTGACTCTGTTCATTGTTTTCAGTTAAACATATTATATAATTCAATTTTGCCTTATTTTTTTTTTTTACATTTATTCACAATTATTCTATATCTAGCTAGACTTGGGAGGGTAAAAAGCTAAAAAATATTGTAATGACATAATATGTCCATTGTAGAAGACTTTATAACTGGTAAGAGGCATGTCCTGTTTGAAGTTTAGAAGTAAGGAGTTTTGTGTGTCGATTAATTGGGTTGACTGTCTTAATTATTTATGTATACTTCACATCTACTTTAAATCATATTTAGAAATTAGAATATGTTAACATGCACAAATAATTGCTGTTATAATCTGAGAGTCGTTTTTTCTTATTATTATTATCCCCTCGTCTTTTTGTTCTTCACATTCTGCTATCTTGCCACGGCAATCGGCATCGTATAGCCCAGCGCAAACCCTCCTCTAAATTATTTCCGCATTAATCAATATATTTTAATAATTGATTTGGTTATACCCGTTTTTGTCAATCCAGCGACATTTATGTCGCAAAAGCGAGACATAGGGATCCTAGATTCTGTCGTCGGCGTCGGTGTCGGCGGAGTCAGCATTAAGGTTCAGTCTATGGTTAAAGTTTTTTTTTTAGACATCAATAACTTTGTCAAACCATCAATGAATTTTATAAATTTTGGACAGAAGCTTGTTCATAACCAAAATACAGTATCCAGAGCAAAATTTTAAAAATATTTATTTTCATGTTCCCGTATTTTACTGATTAATGGACTAACTTTGTCAAACCTTCATAGAATTTTATTTAACTTTGGCAGAAGCTTTTTCATGATCTTGAGAGATCAAGTCTTTAGAAAACTTTTGAAAATATATTTTGATTTTTTGTATTTTTCTGATAGATGGACTTAGTTTTTTTTACAGTTAACATTTACAGACAGTGTTGGATTAATCTTGTTTACATGATAAATTTGTTGACCTTCATGGATTGTTATGAAACTTGGACAGAAGCTTATCTTCAAGACCAAGAAATAGCATCTAAAGAAAACGTTTGAATTTTTTTCAATTCTGTAGGTAGTGGGGAAACTACCGGTTCTGGCGACTTTTTGCTAATGTTAACCCTATGGGAAAAGGTAGCCTCCTGAGAGGTAGCCTCCCGATGTGAGGCTAATTTCTATGACGTCATCATTTGGTATTACGAGACTAATTAATTAAATTTGTTAATTTCTTTGGATAAGGTCATTATTAAATGTTACTAATTACGTTTGTCTTAATTATGCATAAGTATATGATTTTTATCTTTATTTTAATTTGATATATGAAAATCCCCAGTCTATTAATAGATATACAGGTAAACCCATCTAAGTGTGTATCAAATATATATTTGTTTGTTTATATATCTATTCACCTACGGCTGTGAAGAATAAGACGTACACGTTATTATAA